TTTTTACTTGCTTGGGATGGTCTCCTTAAACTCTTCAGTTTATTTTCATAACTATATATTGAAAATCTAAAAATGTTATATATATATTTTTTTTATGTAATTTCAAAAAAATTACTTACATAATTTGCATCAGGGAACTTTACATATTCATTCATATTTAGGGGGCATTTGCTAGTATGAACTGATTATATTTGGTCATTGTATATTATATTTGTTATTTGTAATTGTAGTTATTGACATTTGGCAAGGCAAAGAAGGCAAAAATGTTAAGCATTAATAATTCTTTAACTTTGCACTTTTCTTACTGTTAGTTATAAGCTTATTCTCAGAAACCCATTGCATATCAATGTAAAGCTAAAGAATCAATGGAATGCTCAAGCCATGGTTATCTTAAAAGTTAATATATTTCATGATATAGCTTGCAAAGATACAGCAAGATTCCTCAGACTCCCCTAACCTCAGAGTGTGCATCACGAACAGGGCTGGCGGACCGCATTGACTTTGTTTTGCGGGAGGGGAGCATGGAGAGCAGCTACATCTCAGCCATCACATCACATACCTCGTACTGGAGCAACTATGATGTGTCTCACTTCTTGCTGAACATCTTGTACCCTGACATCCAGCCAACCTCCAGTAAGCCCGAGGTCATCAAGCCTTAAATGAATATCCTTACACTGATCCCTCTGTCAGTCAGTCGCTCTAATGCCTAGTGCAGTTTTGACTGTGAGATGGAAGTTAGCCAGTTTTTGCACGACAACGGGCATGAGTTACAAAAGATAATAATCGGTGGTGATTTGCATCTAGCCTAGGTATGGCGAGTTTTTTATTTTTTTAAGTGTATATTTGTTGGTGTTTTTTTGTAATGGGCATTAGTCAGCGATCTGTGCAGATGAATAACCATGTGTAAGAAATTGCCTTCTTGTGAATTAAGCCATGGTAAGTAAGAATGGAAATCTGCCCAGATCGGAAACAGTGGTAAGACTGCGATGTTTCTCGCAGAGCCAGTGGGAGCATGAGCTGAAGGTGCATGGGGTGGGTGACACTGGTGCCTATAGCATGAGCAGCTAAAAGTCCTTAGCATATTGTACTGGTTATCAGGGTCTTTTTTGCAAAGTTGTATTTGGCATCTTAGGCTGATGACTACAAATGATGAGTGCGTTTTAAATAGCTTTTTCAAGCAGACAGAGTGAGATGAAATTAATTTTTTTTATATGTATATTAAGACTGTGATACAGTAAACCCTCACCATAAGCACAGAAAGGCAAGATCACTGAAATAGGATCTAGTTTAATCTACCACTGTTATTTTTATTTTATTGATATTAATTACTCCATCATGATATCTATAGAAGCACAATGGAGATAGCTTATTTGATGATAAGCAATTTGTATGAATAATTCAGCTTTGGTCTGGTTTATATGCAAAAGTGTTGAGAGTTTAAAATGTGTGTGCTAAGTCCTAAAATAGATTGGACATCAAGTATGTTCAGTAGGGTTTTGGGACTAGAGATAAGAATGAAAAATAAAAGATGCAGAGGCGTGTATGAAAATACTGAAATGATTCTTTCTGCTATATTCTGATTTTTATAGCAGGTGAAGCAGATACAAACTTCCATTATAAACAGACACCTTTCCTCTCAATATTTTTCAAATCTTATTGAAACCCATTAATGTGCATTGGAAGCCCATTCTATAAATTGTATTTAAAACAAAAGAATCAAAGAACAGGTCAGACATAACCCAAAAAAGCCCATTGCTATTTTATGGATCGTAGAAAGATTTTCCTGAAAAGAGAGATAGGAGTGTCAGTCTCTTATGAGAAGAATAAAGCGATGTTGAATGCTGACTTTGTAGTGTAGCAAGATACTGTATTCTGATGCTATTGTGAGGGTTATTGTATTGTGTATGGACTAGCCAGTGATATGCCTGCATTTCTAAGAGTTGTGTATATGTTAAAGTGTTATTATATACTGTTTAATGATCTCATGGTTTACTGTCTTACTTTATGATAGTATCACAGATTAACAAAACTCTATCTTCTTTTCTATCTCTTATTTTGTCTTTTGAAGTTCCTTTGCCGAGTGTATGAGGCAAAGCATCAAAGTTTTTGATAAAGTAAGAGAGGATACATTTTAGCTCTTAGGACATAACTGACAAAGCTGAATGAACTCTTTCATTCTTTCTCTTGCAGCTAAATTTCATCAAATGGTATGCTAATGTGTGATGAGGGAGAGACCGGCTCTGTGTTATAGGGAAGTCTGTTTCGCTTTGGGTACTTAAGGGTCACAATCCCCTCAAGTGTTACAGTGACAGGGAGTCATGATCACGACAAAAGTATCTGTGACACATTTTCTGCCATTGCAAACTGAGAGATGTATTAACATTATATACTGATGATGGTAAACTCTTGAACTGATAGTCTCTGGTCTGTCTGTTTGGTAGTGAATTCTTTACATTTCTGATATAAGTTGAAGGTCTGTGTGTGTGTGTGTGTGTGTGTG